ACCAGCTTTCTTGCCGCTCTCTTGCTGCAAGTGTGATAACGTCCTAAGTCAGAGGGTGGTTCTCGTAAGTAGGTTCAGTCAGGGAAGAGGATTTATAGTAGGAGCCAGCTAGTTTGGCACTCCAAGGCTGCATCTGCACTACAGCAATAATCCAGGTTGACACCACTTTAACTGCCATGACTCAGTGATATGGAATTCTAGGAACTGTAGTGTGTTGTAGCACCAAAGCTCTCTGACAAAGAAGGCTAACTGTCCCATAAAACTACATTTCCCAGAATTCCACAGCATTGAGCCATGGCAGTTAAAGTAGTGTCAACTTGGATTATTTCTACAGTGCGGCTGCAGCCCAAGATGGAGTCAGGGTCCAAAACAGAACCTGAGAGACTTGGGCCAGAATATCTAATGAGGCACAAATCAGCAGGTATCCCCCCATTCACCCACCTACCTCAAAGTCCTGCTGGTATTCACCAGAAAAATACATAAATAAATAAATTGTAAAGATAGGAGAAAATAACTTAATGAATAAAATGAAGTATTAATATACAGGTTGAGTCTCCCTTATCTGGAATTCTGAAATTTGAAATATTCCAAACTCATAAATTGTCCATATGGATGGCTGAGATAGTGACACCTTTGCTTTCTGATGGTTCAGTGTACACAAACTTTGTTTCATGCACAACATTATTTAAAAATATGGTGTATAAAATTACCTCCAGGCTAGGTGTATAAGGTATATCCAAAACATAAATGAATTTCATGTTTAGACTTGAATCCCATCTCTTAAATATCTCATTATGTATATGCAAACATTCTAAAAATCTATAGCAAGTAGCAATAGCAAGTACATTTCTATACCACTTATCAGTGCACTTAAGCACTCTTTAAGCAGTTTACAATGTGTAAGTTACGGTACTTACCCCCAACAAGCTGGGTACTCATTTTAGCAGCCTACAGAGAAGGATGCCAGGCTAAAAAATCCTGAATCGCAAACACTTCTGGCCTCAAGTATTCTGGATAAGGGAGACCCAACCTGCATTACATCTGGTTGTTGAATATTTCCTAACAGTCAATGAAGTTTCCTATTAACTCCTACTGATGAGATGGGATCAGTGGCATCACTAGGGGATGCAGGGGGTGCGGACCATCCCAGGTGACACCCTAAGGGGGGGTGACAGCACTGCTTCTCCAACATCTGCTTTGGGTCAGAAACAGGCAGAGGTATTCACATGCATCCCTTTACAATGCTGAAAAGATGGTGTGAGTAAGGTTGAGGCTCTGTGGGAGAAGAAAGGAGAGGCACCTGGGCTTTTTAAAAATAAAATTTCAAATTTCAATATATATATATATATATATATATATATATGTATGTATATTGTAAAAAAAAATAAAAACATCACAGTTTACCAACTGTTCACTTTATGCACATTAAACTCTGTATATGTAAATACATTTAGGCTGTGGGTATGATATTGTAATTTAAGAGTACAATTTTAATTGG